GAATGTGGGATCTAGAATGTGGGATCTAGAATGTGGGATCTAGAATGTGGGATCTAGAATGTGGGATCTAGAATGTGGGATCTAGAATGTGGGATCTAGAATGTGGGATCTAGAATGTGGGATCTAGAATGTGGGATCTAGAATGTGGGATCTAGAATGTGGGATCTAGAATGTGGGATCTAGAATGTGGGATCTAGAATGTGGGATCTAGAATGTGGGATCTAGAATGTGGGATCTAGAATGTGGGATCTAGAATGTTGGATCCAGAATGTGAGATCCATAATGTATAATCCATAATGTGGGATCCTAATTGTGGGATATAAAATGTGGCATCCAAGATGCAGGATCTTCGATGTGGGATGGAGGATGCAGGATCCAAGATCCTACAATCTATATCCTATAGTCTATATCCTACAGTATAGACACGTGCATTCAAATGTAAAGGCACATGTCCTCTTTTTCAATGAAAATCTCAGGTGTCCTTTTGTTCCAATAGGGTGCTTATTAAGTATAGAGTCAATTAAATATAGAAACTTTTCGTTTGTAGCAGCTGAGTATTTCCTTGATTTCTCTATTTACAGTTTTTACTATGAAGCATTGTGAACTTCAGTATCTTAATAATAAAACTAATTATTGTTATATAATTAAAATTGAGCTGAAGAACTTAACGTTAATTGTTTAACGGTTACAAAAACCAATTTATTAAAGTTTGTTCAAATTTTAATCATTAGCAATCGAAAGAGTATGAAAAAATGTGTCGGAATCCATGAGTTTCATTCCAAATTTGATGTCGGAAAGTTATAAAAAATCAAAATCAAAATTAATTTAACCTTTCTTAAACGTTAACGATCGCGTTAACGGGTGTTAATTAAAGTTTGTTTTCATATCTTTCCGACATCAAATTTGGAATAAAACTCATGAATTCCGACACATTTTTTTATGCTCTTTCGATTGGTAATGATTAAAATTTGAACAAATTTTAATTAACACCCGTTAACGCGATCGTTAACGTTTAAGAAGCCATAACTTCTTCAATATTTTGATTTTTCATATCTTTCCGACATCAAATTTGGAATAAAACTCATGGATTCCGACACATTTTTTCATGCTCTTTCGATTGGTAATGATTAAAATTTGAACAAACTTTAATAAATTGGTTTTTGTAACCGTTAAACAATTAACGTTATGTTCTTCAGCTCAATATAATTAAATAGGAATGAATTGTTTTACAGATCAAAAGAAATTCCTTCGTATAAAACGAGTGGTGGCCCTGAAAAGGGCCGTTTGTTAACAATCATCATTTGAAAATGTCATAAGAATAACATTTTCACCTTCTTACTTCTTGGCAACCTTCTTTGCCGCGGGCTTTTTTGCTTTTGGTGCTGCAGCTTTCTTCGGGGAAGCTTTTGCCTTTTTTGGAGCAGCTTTAGTGGTTTTAGGTTTGGCAGCGGTGGATTTTGCCTTTGGTGGTTTTGCCGCAACTTTCGGGGTCTTCTTCTTTTCGGCAACAGCTTTCTTGGTCTTGGCTGCCACAGCCTTTTTCGGAGAAGCTGCTTTCTTAGCCTTAGGAGCAGCAGCTTTGGGTTTAGCAGCAGGAGTCTTAGCCTTGGGCTTAGTTTTACCTTCAGCCTTGGTGACGTTCAATTTGAAGGATCCTGCAGCTCCTTTTCCTTTAGTTTGGATCAAGGCCTTATTGGCAACTGCAGCTTTGAGGTACTTTCTGATGAAAGGGGCTTGCTTCTCGACATCGACTTTGTAGGTGGCAGCGATGTATTTCTTGATGGCTTGCAGGGAAGAGCCACCTCTTTCCTTCAAAGATGCGATGGCTGCATTAACCATCTCGGATGCTGGTGGATGACTGGCTTTAGCGCGTGGCTTTTTTGCCTTTGCAGCTGCAGCCTTTTTAGGAGTTGCAACTGCAGGCGCAGCTGGTGATTCTACTTTATCAGTCATTTCGATAATGAAACTATTCGAAAAAAAGTTTAAGAACTCTTAAGATACTCTCGACGCAACTGGTGAGACAGTAGTAATAATTTTTTCAGTCGATCGGTGACCTATTGAATTGCACGGACGGTGAAGAAAGTCCCCTGAGCTCTTAGGCCGCTTGCCGTTCGAATTCTTCATAACTTGGGAACGACATTCAAAATATTTGTCAACTTTTAAGTGTTAATGCTTTGACATATTGTTGTAAATATCTTGAATTTCAATTTTACGATTATTGTACTTTTTGACTTATAAAAAATACATTATATTTTTATACCATTTTTCGGTAAAATTTAGCATTTTTCGAAGCTCTGCTTTCAGCTGTCAGGCGTATCAAATTTCGAAAATTATAAATAATAAGTCAACAAATTCTTTTATTAAAAATTTAATTTTTCAAATCAATTCTCTATTTATTTCTCGTTATGGATATTTAATTTATTTTTTTGTTAACAGTAAACTGAAGGTCTTACGAGTTGTTAAAGTTGAGCATCAGTTCTAACTTTTGAAATGGAAAGCAAACGTTCAGAGTGGATGTCTTGATCAATAATGAAAAAATTAAAAAATTGTGTTAGCATTGTTATATGTATATTTATAAATTTTAAACATGTTTTTTGATGAGAAATTTAATTTTAACTATAGACGCAAGAACTGCAAAAATATTTTCGCGCGTCACGATTATAACTCCAATATATTTACTACTTTTAGCATATATACATATACTAATGAATAGAATGAATTTTAAAAGTGCATTTTTTAGTGTAATATAGTATATTTTATATTATTTGTAGTTTTAGTTTAAGTTTGTATTTAAATATTTATTAATTAAATAACAAATATAAACATATCGTCTAAATAATACAGCGTTGCCACAAAAAGATAACTTTTAAATTCCATGACTTTTCCAGGTTTTCTAGACCATTTTAAAAAAAATCTTAAATTTGAATATAAAATTGTTTTGATAAATGTTTAACTAGTTTTGACAAAAAATAAAAAATATTTTTATTAATAACGATGGGGAGCAATAATAACTTATTATTAGATTAACAAGTAACATAATAAATGCAATGAATAAATAATAATAATGAATTAAATTTTTAATTAATAATAAATTATAGTTACTTTAAATTTCATTTCAAAATAAGTGTTATTAAAATTAATTGTAATCTTGAAATGAAATAAGCAGCATCATTTCTATTACACAACATTAATTGTAATAAATACTATTATATTTGTAATTAATTAAATACTTCTATTTAATTTGTTTTACAAAGAAATAAAAAAATTTATTTAGTATTTAAAACTTTTAAAAATTTTAAGACAAATTATTGTAAAACTATAAAAGTAAAAAACTATTGTTAAAAGAGATATCTATGTTGAATTTAAATCGTTTATATTTACTTCGAGAAATCTGGACTCTTTTCTGGATATAATAATCAAAATACAAAAAGAAAACATGATAAATTTTTAATTTTATAAAACATACCTAAAATAATTATGTAATTATTAGATTCCTTTCTAGAAATGTATGTCTTATAAATTTAAAAACTTACTGTAACATGTTATGTATAAAGAAAATTGTGAGCAATATTAATTTTAACCTTTTCCTTACTTATATTTATAAAGATTACTAATGTCCACTAGAAAGATAGGGTGGCGAGCAGGTTTTAGAAATTTCGTCTTTTCCCTTAATGGAAAAAAAATCTGTGTTTCTTACAAATATATACTAATATAAATTGAAAATATAAAATTATAATTAAATAAAAAATAAAATATATACTGAAAAATACTAAGATTTGACTGCCAGAAACTATACTCTGCCTGATAATATAGGTTCTCAACCAGGGTGGCAGCAAAATTTTATTTTCAAACTTCTCTGACTAAATAACTTTTTAATTATTTAATATTCTGCATTGCTGATTGAAATTTTTATAATGCTTTTTAAGTAACAACTTTATTCATAAAGGAAAAGATAAGACAATTAGAAATTGTTTAATAACAAAATTTTATTATATTTAAAACTTTTATTATAAAAAAATAAATACTTTGAAAAATGAATAATCTGACGGCACCATTATAATGAGCTATATTACAAAAATGTCTAAATAAAAAAAACTGAATTGACATTTATATATCAAAGTTTTTTAATTTGTGGTTTCTTTTAATCAAAATTCCCTCATTTCCAGTTTTTCCCTGACATGCGACAACCCTGCAACTGATTTTAAAAAGTTGTGAGTAATAAATGAAACTAAATAAGTAAACAAACTTTAAAAACATTTAATACTATCTGAAATGAACAAGAATATTTCAACGTAAAAAAATGTGTTGGCCCTGAAAAGGGCCGATTGTGTTTGGAAGGTGTTGTAAAAAATTTAAGCACGTTCTCCTCGGATACGACGAGCCAATTGGATGTCTTTTGGCATGATGGTGACTCTCTTGGCGTGGATGGCGCACAAGTTGGTGTCTTCGAAGAGACCGACGAGGTAAGCCTCGCTAGCCTCCTGGAGAGCCATCACAGCAGAGCTCTGGAAACGCAAGTCGGTCTTGAAATCTTGAGCGATCTCACGGACCAAACGTTGGAAAGGAAGCTTGCGGATGAGGAGCTCAGTGCTCTTCTGATAACGACGGATCTCACGGAGAGCGACGGTTCCTGGCCTGTAACGATGGGGTTTTTTCACTCCACCAGTTGCAGGCGCGCTCTTTCTGGCGGCCTTGGTGGCGAGTTGTTTCCTTGGTGCCTTACCACCGGTGGATTTACGAGCGGTTTGCTTGGTACGTGCCATGACGATGCTGTAAGTTCGGAGACTAACAAAACAATGATGTACGGCGGGGAAAATGCTGTATTTATGGACTTTCGACCCTTCTGTTCAATAAGCAGCTAAAGGGAGGGGAAACTAGCAACACGATTGGTAGATTGAAATTGTGGTGGGAGATGTGTGCCACACGATGTTATAAAATAATGCTTACTTCCCTGGAAAAGCATTCTCAGTTTGTTCTTCGTTCGAGTTTGACGTACGAACTTTATTATCTGCAAAAATGACTGGTCGCGGAAAGGGAGGTAAAGGTTTGGGAAAAGGAGGAGCAAAGCGGCATCGCAAAGTTTTGCGTGATAACATCCAAGGTATCACCAAGCCAGCCATCCGTCGTTTGGCTCGTCGTGGTGGAGTGAAACGTATCTCCGGATTGATCTACGAGGAAACTCGTGGTGTTCTCAAAGTGTTCCTTGAGAACGTGATCCGTGACGCCGTCACTTACACCGAGCACGCCAAGAGGAAGACTGTCACCGCCATGGACGTCGTCTATGCTTTGAAACGTCAAGGCCGCACCCTTTACGGTTTCGGCGGTTAAATATACACGTCATCATCATCTGCATACAATCGGCCCTTTTCAGGGCCACCAAATTTTTTTACGTTGAAATTCTTTTTTTTAAAACATATTGTCAAGATATAAAGAGAGTTTTGTGTTGATAATTTATTCTATTAGTGGACGTTAGTTAGGCAAGACAATTTAAATTTGATCTGTAAAGGTAAAAAACTATTCAATAAAATTGAAAAGTATATGTAGTTTACATTCTTGTTCATTGTATCTGAAGACATTGATTTTTTCGGGTCTACATGGAGTTTGGTTTTTGGTCGTTCTTCTTCACATCTATGATGACACTAATTGTAATCTACTAGGCAGTAAGTGTAGAGGCAACACGTCAATATCTCCAATTACGATATATATCAATGTACTACATTTTAATATTAAAGTTTGTTAAGAATTTGTTTAATAATTAATTTTACTGTCTCTATATTTTATTCTTCTTAAAATGAAACTATCCAGATATTCGTAAAAACCATGACCACTTTTAAGAAATTCAAGTTGAAATCGAAACCTTTGAAGATCATAAAAATTTACTTGAAAAGATTGTTAATTTTTTCTCTATAGAACACTAAACATGTGTTGACCAGACGTGACACGGTACCGAAAATATATAGAAAAGTCACGGAGTATGCAAATAATGAACGTCATGTTCTGTTTTGTGTATAACAATCCATAACTAAAATACATGAGTATTACTTCTTTCTCACGTTTTTGAAATCGTTTTTTGGGGTTTTTCCAAAACAAGGATACTCAAGCATAAACTGCATATATGGTTGTCATAAAACACAGAAAAGTATTTTTGGCCTACAACATAAAAAAAGGTTACTCGTTCTCGAATATACCTATATAATACCTGAAATCCTTGATAAAAATAGCTTTTCCCCGAGACAATTGTTAAAGTAATTTATAGTTAGCAGTTTAGCACAAAATGTATTATATTTTAAAATATAATGATGGAAAAAATAAATAAACTGCTTATATTGGCTTAAAATGTTAAAGATAAAATTAATTCCTTCGTAAAAAAATTTGTTGGCCCTGAAAAGGGCCGATTGTTTTCGGAGAGATCAAGATTGATTTACTTGGAGCTGGTGTACTTGGTGACAGCCTTGGTGCCTTCAGAGACGGCGTGTTTGGCAAGTTCACCAGGAAGGAGAAGCCTGACAGCGGTTTGGATTTCCCGGGAGGTGATGGTGGACCTCTTGTTGTAGTGGGCCAAGCGGGAAGATTCGGCAGCGATACGTTCAAAGATGTCGTTGACGAAGCTGTTCATGATGCTCATGGCCTTGCTGGAGACTCCAGTGTCGGGATGAACTTGTTTCAACACCTTGTAGATGTAGATGGCATAACTTTCCTTCCTCTTGCGCTTCTTTTTCTTGTCAGTCTTGGTGATATTTTTTTGAGCCTTGCCGGCTTTTTTCACAGCTTTTCCACTTGCTTTAGGAGGCATTTTGGATATTCAGAGACAAACACGTGTAAACTCAATGAGAATACGGAGTGAATTGATGCTCGGCCAACAAACCGGGTTTCTTTTATGTCCTGTCGCAGTGGCTATGCTACATTGTGATTGGTTCGTGCACTCGTTGTAAATGCCCACCTGTCACAGTATTGTGGTAGAAGAATAGTGGTGGGGGACCCTAATGGAAGTGCATAAATAGTCGATTTTACTGAAATTTTTGTATTAGTCATCCAACCTTTGAGTTGTTCGTTTCGTTGTAACTAAACTAAATCGAAAAATGTCAGGACGTGGAAAAGGAGGCAAAGTCAAGGGAAAGTCAAAGACTCGTTCCAACAGAGCTGGACTTCAATTCCCAGTTGGTCGTATCCATCGTCTCTTGCGCAAGGGAAACTACGCTGAGCGAGTTGGTGCTGGAGCTCCAGTCTACCTCGCAGCAGTAATGGAATACTTGGCTGCTGAAGTTTTGGAATTGGCAGGAAATGCCGCTCGCGACAACAAGAAGACCAGAATCATCCCCCGTCATCTCCAACTTGCCATCAGGAATGACGAGGAATTGAACAAACTTCTTTCTGGAGTCACCATCGCTCAGGGTGGTGTTCTTCCCAACATCCAGGCTGTGCTATTGCCCAAAAAGACCGAAAAGAAAGCTTAAATTTCTACCAACATCCTCTCTCAAACAATCGGCCCTTTTCAGGGCCATCAAATCTTTTTTACGTGTGAATCTTGAGTTCCTTTCATTGTTTTTTTTCATTATAATACATTCGTATTAGACGGTTGCCATGTTTTAATTACATTTGAAATATTTTGTTTTCCAATCTCAATGTCACTTAACTTAGATTATATTAAAATAAGAACAAGTAGTAACTGTTAAAATAACTAAAGCTATGTAAAATTTTTAATGAACTTTTGAATGGCCTACATTACGCTCTTTGCTCATTTGTGATTTATAATATTTTGGAATACTATTTGGTTAGCGTTATCGTATAATTAGTATGATTTTCAGATTACATATAAGCCTGTAGCAATCTTATAGTGGAGTCCAATTTCCGTCTACAGTATAGGCTTCAAAAAACAAGATGAACAAAGCTAATGTTTCACTTTATTTTTTTGAAACTGGGTATCTAAGTGTTTTTGAGATCGCTGTTTACGAACATAAAGTTACTTTTTAAAAGTGATACGTAGTGAAATAGACCTGAATTATAAATAAATGAAATTAAACTTAAACTTTTGTGAGAATTAAAATTCTTTTTATACTTTGAAGCAAAGCAAAAGCGCTTCGAAAGCAGCTAACAAAAAGAGATAATTCGGGCGACTGTGGGAAATACATTATATAGCTATGAAGTAAATCGAGATAACCCAGAGCTGGCAGAGGGTTAAAGATTATATAATTATTATATATTTATTTTAAACAAAATTTTTATTATTCGTATTTTTTATAACTATAAAATATTTATTTATTAATTAATAATTTATAAACTATTTATTTCATAAAAATTATAGAAAGCAATTCAATATTTTATTCAGCACTCATTCACTATGTCATCTTCAATATCAGTTAGTATTAAAATATTTTTTATAGAATGGTGAAGGAACAAATATTGTATCACAATCTTTATACAAGATGTCATATTCTTTCTCCAATCTCAGTTCATTTAGAATTGCTTCTAATATTTCATAGATTTCTTTATTTAAATCTTGCATTTTATCATGAGTTGCAGATGAGATCATACCCGTTAAGATAAGAATTAATTCGGCGGTTTTAGTTTTTTCTTTAGTTATTAAAAGTTTTATAAAATCTTCATATATTATGTCTAGTTCAGACATATCACGACTCAAGAATATCAGACTACAGAAATTCAGAAGAAGACTTTTATTTTTTGTACAATATAGAAAATCTTTCTCAATATGTCGTGAGAGTCTGTGCATTACGTGGGCAATACATATGAATAAATGGGTTAATTTGTCTGTCAATTTTTTGTTTTTTGTTAAATAGTTGAAGGATTTTATAAGGTATTCCGTTATTGTTGTATTATTTCATTTCAGAAGAATTCCATGAATTGATGGCCACGACAAATCTACAACAATTCCCTGAAAGAAAAGCCATTGGAATCCCCTCCGAATGATAAAATCTTTATATTCTTTAAAAAATGCACTTATTGGTTTTGTATTTTGTTCTACAGTAAAAATTTCTGTAGCTGGCATATTTGAATCTTTTAATCTACATGCTATGATAACTTTACTACTGTTTAAATCTTAAGGTAATCTGTATGCATTATTATCTTTAATGGTAGGGGTTTTGCTTATATTTTGCTTCATATTAACAATAAGCATAAGAAACAATATTTTTGCAAATTTTAATTTTCTCTAAATGAATAAAATATTAATGTGCATGGGCAACTCAAAATATTTAAGAAAATATAATTAATTACTATACATTTTTTCTTAGCATTTTATTTGTTTCTGGGCTAAACCACATTTTTCTTAGGAACTGGTGTTTCCATTATTAATTTGCTATATTTTCTTCTTGAACTATTCGTTTTTCCATTACTTATTTATTCTCCATCTTTTTTTTCATCTTCTGAAGTACTAACATCCTCAAAACTGCTATTTTCTTCTATCTTGAAATAGCAATTATTTTTAGATTCATTAGAATAATCATTTCCGCGGTTGGAAATTAGAGGATCTGTAGTTTCATGGGGGACAAAACTGAAGTACCTGGGAGTGACGATGGACAAGCGTTTGAGTTTCGGCCAACATATTAACATCTCGTCACTCCAAGCCACCGAATGCATGGGAAACCTTTCGAGGATGATGCCCAATATCGGTGGCCCCAGGGAAAAGAAACGTAGACTAGTGGCGACTGTGGTTCAATCAAAGCAGCGTTACGCTGTCCCTGTTTGGGCTTTGGCCCTAAAGTTCCACAGCATCTCTGACAGGCTCCTCGCACTCCAGAGAGACCCGACACGGAGAATTGTGTTAGCCTACAGAACGGTGTCTACTTGCGCTGTTCTGGTACTCGCTGGATTACCGCCAATAAATCTATTGGCGATTGAAAGAAAGGAGATCTTCCATCTTAACAACGATATTGAGTGTACTTCATAGCATAGCGATACACTCAAAGCGATAATACGCAGAGAGTCCAGAAGTAGACTCGTTCAGAAATGGCAGGAGAGATGAGATGGGGAGTCTAAAGGTAGGTGGACCTACCGCCTGATTCCCCTCCTCGCCACATGGTTAGATAGGAAACACGGTGAAGTTGGCTACTCTTCCGCTAGAGAATGGATATGCTTATATAACATCGGGAGCTATAGTCCTTAAGGACCCAGGTATCCCTTCTCTGCCTCGAGCATGAAGATAAGCGCAATTCTGAAGTTGGCTACTACCTTACACAAGCGTTGTCAGGTCATGGTTGTTTCGGACAGTATTTTTATCGATTTAAAATAGAAGCAGACGCGAGATGTGAGTATTGCAACGGTTCGGGTGTCGACGAAGCAATACACACTGACGACGCGGAGCACACGCTCTTTTTCTGCGGGCACTGGCGTAAACTTAGGCAAGCCATGTTCTCAGCTGTGGGCACTGAAGTCACAGCCGAGAGCATGGTTTCTATTATGTTGCAGAGCGCGGACTCTTCGAGGAGCGTTGAGTCCTTCATTACAACTGTAATGAGGACGAAGGAGGTTAACCTGGAGAAATCCTGCTGTTCGGCTGGGTGCACGCACGGGACGGGGGAGACCTTAACTGGCTCTCCTTCCTCTGGCGCTGGAACTCAGTTAAGGATTTAGGACCGAGAGCAACGGTAAGGAGACTTCCACTGGTGATGTATAAAGCTTAATAGCAGTTCCGCCAGTGGAGTTAAAGTCTCAAAAAGGGTGTGGTTTTTAGTGGGTCGACCAGAACAAGAGCGGTCATCCCCACATAACCTGAGAGTACGTTCTCCAGGTATCTGACTTGGAAGTAGGCCTCCAGGGTTATGAAGATTTTCCACTTCCCTCGTAAAAAAAATCATTGTATTTATCATCATGATCATCATCATGATCTTCACCATTGTAATGATTATTATCATTTTAATAATGATTATCATCATCATGTTCATGAACATAATCATAATGGTGATAATTATGATGATGATCATGATCATGATGGTAATGATAATTATCAAAATGAAGATTATGATGATGGTAATGATTATTATGATGATCATCATAAAGGTGATGATAATGATGATTAATATCATGACGGTGATCATAATGATGATGGTAGTTATCATAATTATGATAATTATCATCATAATCCTCAACACCATCATGATCGTTATCATGATGATGATGATGATAACAATCATAATGATGACCATACTGATGATGATAAGCATAATGATAATGATCATTAATGGTGATGATCATAATAATGATAAGCATCATCATCATTATGATCACCATCATTATAATCATCATCATTATCATCACCATTATGACCATAATCATCATGTTCATCATCATCATGAGCATTATTTTGATTATTATCATCAGCATCATGATCATAATCATGATGATCATCATTATGATCATGATGCTGATAATAATAAACAAATTCACGATCATGATGAAGATCATAATGATGATGATTATAATGGTGATGTTAATGATGATGATAATGATCATGACGATGACAATGATAATGATCATGCTGATGATCATAATTATTTTAACGATGTTGGTTATAATGATGATCATCATTATTATGATCATCCTCATTATGATCATGATGATAATCATCATAATTATGATTATCATTATTTTAATCCTCATTATGATCATGATGATAATCATCATAATTATGATTATCATTATTTTAATCCTCATCATGATCATCACCATCATAAACATCATCATTATGATTAGCATTATTATAATCATCATCAATTTGATCATTACTATTATGATAATCATCATTATGATCATTATCATTTTGATAATCATGATCATTATCATCATTATAATCATTGCCATTACGATAATCATCATCATCATTATGAATATTATCATCATGATCATCATCATTATGAACATTATCATCATGTTCATCATCATAATGGTGATGATCATGATGATGATGATGATAATAATAATCATGATAATGATGATGATAAACATAATGCGATGATGATCATTCGGATAATGATCCTAATGGTGATCATGATCATGATCATGATGGTAATGATCATTATAATGATTATCATGCTGATGATGATGATGATCAAGTTGATGATAATCATAATTATGATGATGATAATCATTATGATCATCATCATAATCATCATGACCATTATAATAGTCATCATTATGACCAAAATCGTGAAAATCATTATGATCATCACCATAATCATCATCATGATCATTATCATAGTCATCATCATGATCATCATTATTATGAACATCACCATCATAATCATCATCATTATTATCATTATCATTTTGATAATCATGATTATCATCATCATGTTCATCATTATGATCATCATTTTGTTTATTATTATCAGTATCATGATCATGAAGATGATGATGATGATGATCATGATGCTAATGACAATAATCAAATTCATGATCATGATGATGATGCTGAACATAATGATAATGATCATAATGGTGATGATCATGATGATGGTGATGATTATTATGATGATCATCAAAATGGTGATGATTATTTATTTAATTTCTTTTATTCTTTTTAAAGGAAGAATGATTAACATCATTGACTCGCATGAATAAACCCCAAATTTCATTTAACATAAGGGTGATTCTACAAACGAAGGACGAAAATGAAGAATATGTGGACACAACATTTTTTCTCATTTAAAGTCTGAAAAGTACTTTAACTTCAAGTTAATGACACTAAAAATTATTTCTGAAAGTGGCCAGACAAAATATTAAAAATTACATAATTTATGGTTGTTTATAAACAATTTATCCAGGAAATTATGATCGTGTTTAGAAAATTCACATTATCACAAAAAATAATGGATGGATTTATACAAAATTTATTATTCAGGGGTTTTGCGGGGTCGCTGATTACGAATCCGATGTCAGTTTTTCAAAATTCAAAATGGCGGATCCTTATATACGGCTTATGAAAAAACTTAATATATTTGTCTGAAAATAATTACTCGGGGGTTTTCGGGCTCGCTGAAAATGAATCCGAAGTCAGTTTTTCAAAATTTAAAATGGCGGATGCAACATGACGGACAAATATTTCAAATCACTGGAAACTACTTACTTGCTAACTTTTCAGGGTAGCTGGTATCGATTCCGACGTCAGTTTTTCATATTTAAAATGAGCAGATCTACTGTATTAAACGAGTTTGTAAAAAAATTTTCGATTTTAATTAAATTTTAAATCCAGAAGTTTTTTAATTATTAATAACTTATCTAAAGTCTAATTTTTAAAATTCCACAATTTTTAAGATATTTCTTTAAAAAAGTCAAATTTTGAAAATCTGGATTGAAACTCGTAATCTGGTAATTCTGAAAAGAAAAGTAAGGAATGAAACATTTTTTGCACGTATAATTTTGATAAACAGGTTAATTTAAATTAAAAAGTTTTTTCAAAATTCGTTTGCCATATTGGATCTGCCATTTTGAATTTTGAAAAACTGACGTCGGATTCGTAATCACCGACCCCGAAAACCCCCGAGTAACGAATTTTACAAGGTTCAATAAAAGGTATCGCTTTAATTATTAGTAATTTGTTTATATAAATTGTTTATAACAAATTACGTGTGTTCTACTAAAACATAATTTTACAAATCACAAATCTGTAGGAGTACTTCAAGTGTCTAATAATAAAAAATATTTCGATTTTGTTGTGATATTCATACGATTCACGCAAGAAAAAGGTACTTATTATTTGTTTATTTATAAGCAATTCTATCCGATAGAGAATTCAAATTTGCAATATATAAGCCTATGAAAGGACCTAAAAATAATATTTTTTGCAAAAAATTGATGCAAGACGAATGAGAATTTGTCTGGTCACAACACAATTTTGGTCACAAATTGAGAAATCTTGGTTAATAGAATAACAGAATAAATAAAACGCGCGTGGTATCACATTTAGTTTAGTTTAATTAACTACAATAATGAACTGTAACAACATCAGAATGTTGATTTTTAATAATTTTAACGTGTTTTCAACTGCCAGACGAATGATGACAAAATCTAGGGACAAAATTCAAGAAGATATTTTAAAAATAAGGTATAAAGTAATGTCATAATTATTTCCACATTAATAATCTACAACTATTCAAAATTACTAATCCAGTATGAATTTTCCGCTAAACACTTGAAAAATAATATTTTTTCACAATATGAACTGTCAATTACACTGCGGGACATGCCAGACGAATGAGAATTTATCACTTTGATGTGTATTTTTTGCAAGAAATATTTTTTTTCATCGGCTTCTTTTTAGTGCCACAATAGAAACCATTTAGATTTACAATTTTCATCAAAAATAAAATTATTTTTTTCAAAATTAATATATAAAATAAGCTTGGCCGCTCATAATTCCCTCGTTTGTAGAATCACCCATAAATATTATTTGACATAAAACTCACTTCACTTAAATTTAAATTAACATAATTGTACATTGACCTAAAGTATATTTGGCATAGTAGTCACTTGTTATAAATTTCATTTGACACAAAATTCATATAACATAAATTCCATTTGATATAAATTTTATTTGATGTAAATCTCATTTGACATAGAACTTATTTAATATAAAAATTAATTGGACATAAAACTTATTTGTCATTAAAATAGCATTGGCTATCCTTGTCTTACATATAAGCTTCTGTGTGTGGGGAAAGGACAGACGAAGCAACATTTATGACAAATGAATGTTATTACAAATAAGTTTTATGTCAAATGAGATTTATATTAAATCGGGTCAAATAAGTGGTGTAACCCCTTAAAAAAATACTAACCCTACAAACACAAAAAGAAACTTAAAATAAATAAAACAAGAAACAAACACAAAAAATATGTTTAAACTTATTTTTTTTAAATTATAAAAAGTAGAGAGGATTGAAGTTTTGATTTTTCAAAACATAGTTACACAGCAACTTTCGCACAAGAAAGTTTAGAAATATACTGATCACGAATCTTTCGAGGGTCAGTGTGGAAGGCCCAAAGTAAAAACCCCCACTTTTCTATTCCTACTTCCAACATTTTAGTAGCATAAGGGAAGGGCCAATCATCGTTTTACGACTTTTCCCCTGAAATGTACAGTACAGGAAAATCTTCCACAAAACAATTTTAGTGGGAGGTTGTCTAATAAGAGGATTTTCTAGTTTTCCCTTGAATGACTATCGTATAAGAATATTTGTATTAAAAAGCATAATAAAGAAACGTTGATTTCCAAGAAATACAGAACGCTTATAAATAATAAGAATATAAAATATAATGCTAGGAACTCATAATTCGTACGTAAAAAATATTTGTTGGCCCTGAAAAGGGCCGATTGTTTGAGAGAGGATGTTGGTAGAAATTTAAGCTTTCTTTTCGGTCTTCTTGGGCAAAAGCACAGCCTGGATGTTGGGAAGAACACCACCCTGAGCGATGGTAACTCCAGAAAGAAGTTTGTTCAATTCCTCGTCATTCCTGATGGCAAGTTGGAGATGACGGGGGATGATTCTGGTCTTCTTGTTGTCGCGAGCGGCATTTCCTGCCAACTCCAAAACTTCAGCAGCCAAGTATTCCATTACTGCTGCGAGGTAGACTGGAGCTCCAGCACCAACTCGCTCAGCGTAGTTTCCCTTGCGCAAGAGACGATGGATACGACCAACTGGGAATTGAAGTCCAGCTCTGTTGGAACGAGTCTTTGACTTTCCCTTAACTTTGCCTCCTTTTCCACGTCCTGACATTTTTCGATTTAGTTTAGTTACAACGAAACGAACAACTCAAAGGTTGGATGAATAATACAAAAAATTTCAGTAAAATCGACTATTTATGCACTTCCATTAGGGTCCCCCACCACTATTCTTCTACCACAATACTGTGACAGGTGGGCATTTACAACGAGTGCACGAACCAATCACAATGTAGCATAGCCACTGCGACAGGACATAAAAGATACCCGGTTTGTTGGCCGAGCATCAATTCACTCCGTATTCTCATTGAGTTTACACGTGTTTGTCTCTGAATATCCAAAATGCCTCCTAAAGCAAGTGGAAAAGCTGTGAAAAAAGCCGGCAAGGCTCAAAAAAATATCACCAAGACTGACAAGAAAAAGAAGCGCAAGAGGAAGGAAAGTTATGCCATCTACATCTACAAGGTGTTGAAACAAGTTCATCCCGACACTGGAGTCTCCAGCAAGGCCATGAGCATCATGAACAGCTTCGTCAACGACATCTTTGAACGTATCGCTGCCGAATCTTCCCGCTTGGCCCACTACAACAAGAGGTCCACCATCACCTCCCGGGAAATCCAAACCGCTGTCAGGCTTCTCCTTCCTGGTGAACTTGCCAAACACGCCGTCTCTGAAGGCACCAAAGCTGTCACCAAGTACACCAGCTCCAAGTAAATTTTGATCTCTCCGAAAACAATCGGCCCTTTTCAGGGCCAACAATTTTTTTTACGAAGGAATTAATTTTACCTTTAACATTTTTAAGCCAATATAAGCAGTTTATTTATTTTTTCCATCATTATATTTTAAAATATAATACATTTTGTGCTAAACTGCTAACTATAAATTACTTTAACAATTGTCTCGCGGTGAAAAGCTGTTTTTGTTGTAAAGAATTTCAGGTATTATGTAGGTATATTAATGTAATGTAATATATGTGTCCTGACGCGGTGAAAGGGACCTTACGGTTCCAAAGCAAATTTTACAGGAGAGGCGC